TTTTTTTTTTTTTTTTTTTTTTTTTTTTTTTTTTTTTTGTGTCTTGAATGGAGATGGACCAAGCCAATAGATTTGTGGCTTATATGTCCAGATAATAAACTGTCGTAATTTTTGGTCACAATTATGTACAAAACGTTACAAAAAAAAGAGCGGACGTAATAACTGGAGCCAGCATGTTAAGTGTAATTATGCGTAATTTGGCTGAAAACGAAAAAGGAATGCTATGATAATAGAGGATGATTGAACGCAAAAACGAAAGACAAAAAAAAGGAAAGAAGAGGAGAAAAAAAAAAGCACATGTTTACAGTACTATGTAAAGCGAGAAAACATTCTGTTTTTCAAAAGAAATAAAAAGTGGTTTTTGGCTCATTACTTATCAACTATAAGAAAACAAGTCCGTAGTTCCTGTAGAAATATGGGAAAAATTGACCGCGGCTATCCGATATTTTAAACTATGAAATCTCAGATCTTTTTTTATTAAGTCCCTTTTAGTCCCTATTAGTCCCTTTTACAACGATGATGGATATAAAAGATATGATCACTCACGTCCCGCAGTGTAAGAAGTTACTGAAACATTAGAATAAGAAAAAGAGCTATTATATGAAAACAATCTATAAATAATTTACTTTCAATGTTCTCTATTTTGTAATTCCTCATCCTTTTTTTTTTGTCTACATCTACATTGTGGTTTTCATAAATTAGCAAACCACTTTCATTGTCATCATTGCTTCGGAATATGAAATTTGAGACAAAAGAACAAAAAGCTAACAAGCAAATAATAACTAATTTAATCAACATTGACAGATGACAATGTCAGAGTACATTGAGTATTTCTGTAAGTGATGTCTTGCGGACGGTTCACTTACGATTGATCGTTGTCAATAACGCAATGCATGCAATTCAACGAATTTGCTTAAGTATTCTGAAATGCGGTCTGGAAATATGCTTCTGTGATAGTTAAAAACCTTTTTTGGTTTCATTCATATTACAACGAGTATGATTATACCCTTCATCCCTTTTAGCGCAGGTCACGTTAAATTTGTACGAACGTACGTAAAAACCAGAAGGATTTGAGATAAGTCCACCTTTTGTTAAGATTATTTTTAATTGTGATTTGATTAGTATACAACTTAGGTGACAATATGTCTCATATTTTTAGAACTTGTCCCGATTCTTTACAGCACGATTTCTGGTTCCGGATGTATAATATTTACTCCAAATGGTTCCGAATGACAATAGTGTAAGAACGTAAAAGTTGAAATGCAAACTTAAATAGTGTAAATTGTCAACTAAGAATGTGGCGCGCACAGTACCGATTGCGTAAACCGTGGATCACGCAGTGCGATGTTTCGTTTGAAGACATTTTAACGTTGTTAACGTTCAACTACACTAGATGAAGTGATCAGTTACACAAAATCAATCCATTAACTAATCCTTCCTGCATATATGCTCCTAATCTTCTACTTTTTGTCGGTCCAAATTTTGGTTAATTCATTCGCCAATCCATCATCATTCGCAGATTGTCCGCCTGTAATTGTCTTCCCAGTTCGTTTCCTTAACTTTACGGCTTATATAACAACTTTTCCTTTTTTCAATACGCAATGAAAAAAGTTGCTATCGCTGTTGTATTCAGCTGTTGGCTGAAAACGGCTGAAAGCGAAATCTAAAGTTCAATTTTTCAAAAAAAATGATTATCTCTCCAACATCCAACCAACAATCGTCTTCAAACTTCGTACCCACATAGAGCCCTTTTTTTACAACGTATATAATAATCTCATGTTATTGACTCGCGAACGTTGAAAAAGGAAGAAGAAACCGCGGATCCAAAAAATTTCTGTAATTAATATAAACAAAGTTAATTATTTTGAATTATTTTCAGTTTTTACGGAACGCAAAAAAAATTTGAAGGAAGATTATATACTATCGCCTTATTATTACCTTCTTATCTTTCCCATTATAATCTCGAAAAAATGTTGGGTTATGGGCGCGGTCTACGTCGTGACTTATCACAGCCGGCACTGGCTCCAAAATCTCTGGATATTGGCGTAGGCACACAGAGTTTTGGTTCAACTGCTAAAACATGTCGAGTTGGCTTTGGTCGTCGAGGAAAAATTTTACCATCCGGATCTCATAAGTTGCCTGCCTTAGGAACGAATGCTTCCGGAGATGACTCATTATCAACCAAAGCTCAAGACGATGAAAAATCGAAAGAAGTGCACCCTAAGGACTTAATCATGAAAGAGCCTAAGGAAACTTCGAGTTTGCTTACATCTCCTAAAGCAACTCATGGCGTAAAAGGTACTCCGATTCAATTGGTATGCAATCACATACGTATAAACTCGGATCCAAATAAGGGCATTTATGTTTATGAAGTGCGCTTTATCCCCAATATCGACTCGAACCGTTTAAGGAGACAATATTTAAATGAGCACAGCGTCAAGTTTGGCGGAACTAAAACTTTTGATGGTGTCACTTTATATTTACCAATTTTGTTGAAAGATGAACTTACCACGTATGTCTCAAAAGCGTACGATGGATCTGATATTGAGATTCGGATACTTTTTAAAAGAAAAGAATTGCTAAAACACTGTATGCAGTTTTATAACGTCCTTTTTGATCGAATCATGAAAACTCTAAATTATGTACGGTTTGATCGGAAGCAATTTGATCCAACATCGTCAATAGTGCTCCCACAGCATCAGTTGGAAATATGGCCCGGATATGTGACCGCCGTAGATGAACATGAAGGAGGTCTGTTACTTTGCTGCGATGTGTCTCATAGATTACTATGCCAAAAAACTATTTCGGAAACGCTCCTTGAAATTTTCAGACGTAACCCCAAGCACTTTCAAGAAACGGCTAAGAAGGCACTCTTAGGTGCTACCGTTATAACGAGATACAACAATAAAACCTACCGAATTGACGATATTTGTTTTGAAAAAAGTCCGCGATCGACGTTCACATTCAAAGAAGGGACACTGAGTTTCTTGGACTATTATCGAAGGAATTACAATATTGAAATAAAAGACACAAATCAACCACTCTTGATATGCATCAAAAAACAACGTATGTCGCAGAGATCGCAAGCAGAAGATCTCGTTATCTGTTTAATTCCTGAGCTGTGTTACGTAACCGGGTTACGTGATGAAATAAGGGCTAATCACAAACTAATGCGTGAAATTGCGACTTTCACTTGCCTCTCACCTGTTCAGCGTATAAATGCATTGAAAAAATTTTATACGAATATAGATAACAGTCCCGAATCGCGGAAAATTTTAAGTGTGTGGGGATTATCTCTTGTACAGAATTATGAGGAAATCAGTGGCCGGCAACTTGA